AAAATACTGGCTTACAGATAACGTTTGGCTCCCATGTCCGACATCATGATCAGCACATCACACCCGATTCTCTCGGGCACCCCAGCACCCAGGGGCATCGTCTGAGAAATGTTATCGACGATGGCAAATGTATCCAGCAAAACAAATCGTCAACAGAACGCAGCAGGCATTCCGATCCTTTTTAAAAGAAGCTAGTCGCTAAGTGAGCAAGCCCGTCATCACTTGTCGTTTCTATTGCTGGGCCCAGTTGGTCACGAAGCTTACTCAGCGCATTCCTTTATAGCCTATAGGTGTGAAGGGAAAATGGATGGATTTTTCCCCGGTGCGACTCTTTCATCCCTTTGCAGTGCCTAGATACGTCTCACGTACATGTGGATCTCGCGTACAGTATCTATATTGCGCATTTGGACGGGGTTTTGAACTGAAACAGCAATCTTGAAGATCATTTGGTGCAGTTCACGGCCCTGCGCTTCGTGAAACCTAAAAGCCTTTAGTTGTTGAGCTACACGCCCGCTTATATGCACAGGCTATTTCGTGCAGACTATTTCAAACTGACTTGGACATGTATGACGTCATAGAAGTGTCATTCAAATGTGTCCACCCCCATTTGTCATGCGGCGTTTAAGGCGAGGAAGAATATTATCATCGAATAGCTTATGTCTGACGTTCATGAGCACGTTTTGCGGATATGACTTAAAGTAGCTCTCAAAGAATGGTGTACAGGCAAGGCCATCTTTATACGAATCGCGTTCTGTGCTGCGTAATACAAGAGTTTGGCATGCGTACTAGGCATCACGGAAATGAGACTTGTAATCGAATAAGTTAAGAAACGCCATAACCAAGGTTGTGGTCACGAGTAAACACCTTGACGTCACTGAAAAAATGAAAGACTATCACGAGAAAAGTGCAAAACTTGACCACATAGCGATATTTGCTTCAGTCAACACGTGCGGTACCGCCACTGCCACCTCTCGGCAGCTTGAATTACTTCAAGTGTTAGGGTGGCATTTCGCACGGTAAGTTTGGCAACATCTTAAATCTCATAGGATACTTAAAGACATGAAGACATTCCGGTCAACAGAGAGCCATAAGGGCCCATCAAGGTTGGCCTTTCTCAGGTTCCACACACTCATCTTAGAAATAAACTCACCTCCCGACCTGCCTTAAGTTATCTATAAATGAAACATGTTCACCGAAAGAACTCATCCAACTATTTTGTGAATGTTGTCGGATAGGGACTTCTTACCAATTCGTTTGCCAGCCCATTCCGATGTTTCACTAGTCTTTGACCAAGTGACATCTGCCTCTTCACTGCTCTACTCGTACCTTTTGCTGCATGAAACTGGTTTCCTCTCAGTCTCGGCTTAATTTCCAGTGCTCTATTTAGATCTACCCTAGTCCATCCCTTTTATGATCTTGAATACCTCCATCAGATTCCCTGTAAGTCTACGATATTTCAGTTAATACAGATTCAAAGTGCCAATCCTTTCCTTAAAGTTTAAGTCATCAATGTCAATTATCATCCTGACTTTTTTGTCCTACTCTTTCCAGCCTGTTCTTTTGGAAGCCTGGGAACCAAGCCTGTGCATAATACTCTTGGTGTGGTCCGGCATAAGTCAAATACAACCTTTTGACAGCATTCCTACTCTTGTAGTATATATCCCTGTTAATAAGCCCTAGCATGCGAAGTACCTTGCTCCTTGCAGCCCCCAAATTGATTTTCAGCCCTTAAAACCCTGGCAATGATAGTCCGTAAGTCCTTTTGCTTCCCCGACCTGGTCCGACTCCCGGCCTCCCATTCCATTGGAAATGACCGTTCTGCCGAAAACATCTTAATGCTTCACCTTGCCCTTATCATAATTGAAAGGCATCTGCCACAGATAATATATAACAAGCCCGGTTCACGAGCTTCTATGATTCAAGTTGAATCTGGTTCACCTGGTCGGTATTTTTCGACACCCCTACAAATTCCATGTCGTCAGCGAGTCTTAACACCTTGCTCCCTAATGCCATCTCGATATGATTCACATTAATAATAAAGAGCGAACGACCAAACACTGACTGCTGCGGGACTCCACTACCTTCTAGCTCCCACGGAGATTTTGTACCCTTAAACAGATCTCTTTGTTTCTTGTCTAGCAGCCAAGCCCTTACCAAGTCAATAATTTTTCTCTCAACGCCTTACAATTTGAACTGACTAGCAGACTCTGGTGTGGCACCTTCTGAAATGGCTTACCAAAATACAGATGCATAACATCTTCAAACTGTCTTCATCTATCTGACTAGTGATATGATGCATGTGCTCTATAATATTTTTTAGTGAGAACCGACCGGAAACAAAACCATACTGATCGCTGTTTATCACCTGATGCCTATCTAAATGTGACTGAATGCTATCACTCGCTCTATGATTCAAGTTGAATCTGGTTCACCTGGTTGTGGTACCTAGCACCTAGGTCATGAACTTTGGATCAGATAAGACCAATGTCATGCTAACACTCGCCTTAACACTCGCTCGGGTTGAGGTAAATTGCCCCCCCCCCCCCCCCAAGGTTTGTCCGGAATGGTTTCCGAATGGCTCGACGTAGCCGCATCAAATTCTGCTTAGCTATAGACAACTGAATAGCGGACCGTTTGGAGACAAAAATCTGTATGTGCCTTGTCACGTTGCTGACCTACGGCAGGTCAGCGTCAGGCCGTGGATTCAGCGAAATCGATTTCCAGAGAATCGTTCAATCTAATTCAACAACGGAGTGTTAGACAAAGCCATACACCTCTGAGATACTTTCTTTGGGCAGCACAACAACTGAGTGAACAAATTCCATTGACCTTAGGTCAGGTATGAGGGTCAGACGGAATGCAAAATCAACCTTTGTTATTACTCTGCGTCTTGCTATATGGAGCACTTCTGGTGCTCATTTTCAATTTATTGATACAGTAACTGCATTATGCGTCTTCCATGGACTTCTTAAACGTCTGAATTGGTCACTGACCTAAAATGACTGACGTCTTTTTTTGTTTTTAGGAACATGCTGCCTAGCGTATTTTTTTGTCGCTTATTCGAAGGTAAAACTCAAAGTAGTCTGGTAAAATCCTGGTCATCATGATCTTAAGAAGGTCCAACAAGGCCACTGACCTTAAATGAGCATATGACCTTTTGCTTAGAACAGGCATCTGGGTTCAGGGGGCACTTTAGGGACCAGTTTGGAGTTTGACCTTGTTTGGCCTTATCTGATCCAAGGCTCATGACCTAGCTACTAGGTACCACAAACTTTGACCTAAGTGATTTCACGCACAGGTAACACACCCTGTGAATTTGGTGTTGATAGCTCTCTTAGCTCCTGAGATTTCAGGGCCCAAATTGAGCCTCCTCCGAGCGAAGGATATCCAGCCGGCCGCCCGGTGCGTGCTTGCGCATTTTTCGAAGATGTTGCATGCAAGGGAGGCTTGCAATTGCTGACCATTTTTGGCTTCCTTCTGAAATATCGGTACTACTTGGCGTTGCGCCCGTCCTCGGGTACCTCTCAGAAACTCAATGGTCTGCTAAATATGAACATAGAAGGATAAGCGGAAGTATTGGGACGTTCATTTAGCACTTAAACATGTATCTGGCCAGGTGCGGCAGCCTTATTAACCTTGATTTTCATCAAGCTATCTCTTACCACACCCCTGGTCATCGCCAAATCTACAAGACTGCCCTGCGTCATATCTTGCCTACTACCAGAGAGATTACGCAGTCTTCTTCGTAAAAACAGAAGAAAACTGCTTACCAAGAGCACCAACAATATCCGTGTTATCCACTAATGACTTTTCATCTTCCTTGAGTGGGCTGACAGAGGGTCCCATCGGTTCGAATTTTTATAAGCTCAAGAAAATTAACGTCGCCAGAGCAAGTGTCCGCTAGCCACATTTCGGATCCACTTTTGACTACCCTGATTTCCTCCTTTAACTTTTTTGTAGCAATCCTGTATACTGCCTTTTTGCTTTGCGTATCCCGCAGGTCTTGCCTCCCATATGTCGTCTTCTTCAGCATCATCAAATTCGCACGGCTCGTGTCAGCCACGGGGGCAGGAGATTAACATAATTATTTTCTTGCATTTTCCTGAAGGAAAGGAATCTTTCCCGTCCTTCTCCCAAAATATCCTCGAACACCTCTCACATCTCATTTGCAGTGAGTCCATCTAATACAGACGTCAAACTTTGATATAAGTCATGCAGACGTTCCATTTCACAGTCAAACAATGGTGTATTGGGAACCATATTTACAGATAGACAACTCTACTCACAGAGGACAGTACTACCCAATACCCAGCCCCAACCATTAGTTCCCTCCCTGCAATCTCAAAATACAACGGCAGCTTAGTTACACCCATGCCAGAAGACAAGGGGGTAGTCAGCACTGGTTACGCATCACACCGATTTTGCACTTTCTTAGGGGCTATTTGTGGTGAATAGCTATCAAAATCCGGGTAACCGGGTCTAAGGATACGGTCTACCGCCCCGCTTGGCTACGCCATTGGCAGAAGGTGCTGGTTAAAGAGCGATATCGATATATTCACCCAATCCTTACCTCCTGGCATGTTCAAGGTCTATGATTTCAAACACGGAAACTAATAACGCCTTCGCAAGCTGTTCTTTTTTTAGAATTGTTGCCTAGATTTCGGCGAATGTTAACCGTTCTTTTCTACTTTAAATTGGGCCAGAAGTTTCCGAGATACCAGGGAGCATCCCCACCCATTACAGCGCACTTTGTCACAGCACGCAATATTGCACAAGGAGAATATGGTGAATAAAGACAAACACGCGCACGTTTTGCCTCTGTCGCATAGAATAGTCAAAGCGCAAGAGGTCGTGTTCGTAAAGCGCTAGACTTTTTATCACAACCGTTGGAATTATTATTGCCCGTGAAGTATCCCTCAGATTTTTGCCACGAGCTCAGCCCATGCTGCCAGAATATGCTGTGTTGGCCCTTGTCATCAGTCAATGCGAATTGTGATACATTAAAGTCACGTTGAAAGGCTCACATTAATGATTGAACAGAGTGATGTGCTTTTTACGTATAGAGGTGACTGCACAGAAAAGACTCAGATATCAAACCATTGCCACATTTTCGGTTCTTAAGGTGTTCATCATTCCGTAAGGATCAATTTCAGAAGAGATCAGGATGTCTTCGGAGGACCAGGAGAGCGTCCACAGTCACTCAAGCATTTTCAATCCAGACACTGAAAATGACAAGAGGCGTGTTTGGAACCCAGATTATTTTTTCGATATTGTTTTGTTAATTTCAGGCTGGTGGGTAAAGATCCTATTCCATATTCCGCCTTTCTTGATGCGGCACTCGGGTATAGCTTTCATGATCGCATTTTGCATGGTGACGGTGACATTATGCATTCCTCTTGCGGTTTTGGAAACGTTTGTGGGCCAGTATGGCGGCAAAAGTTTCCTTCTTGTGATGACTGAAATGGTGCCTGTTGCTCGCGGTGTCGGATACGCTATCGTAGTGGACCATCTATTAGAAGCAGTCGTATATGGAGCCCAGGTATCGCAACTCCTGATTTACTGTTATTATTCCTTTAAACCAAGGCCTCCTTGGGAAAAATGTGATGATCAAGTTGTCTCGCCATTGTGTCAAACTCCCGAGCTACAACAAGAGTGCAGGAACCGAAAGGACAATCTGACAATCTTCGTTTGGTACAGGTGTGCTGAACCGTCCGAAGCCTGCAGTTCAAAAGGCATGTATTACGTGGACAAGGATCATTGTAGCAAAGAAAAAAATCTCAGCAATCCTGTTGATATCCTATATCTGAACAGGCCAACTGCACAGCAAGAATACTTCAAAGAAATTTACGAACAGAGGGGGTGGATGTGGATTTCAGACGCAAACAAACTTGGACCAATGCACACTGGATTTGCGGTTTCCTCATTCGTGTTGTGGATTCTTGTCATGCTTGGGGTTTTTGGCACTCAAATACCTCAACCGCACATACCGTTCGTCGCGTACACCGTACCCCTCGCTCTTTACGTGCTATATATGCTAATATCGTTTTGCCTGCCTGGCAGTGGCAGTGGCATTGCAGATCGGTATTATTTCAAGCCACAAGATCTAGGCAAGGCTCGCTGCTGGGGTGACGCCGCGACGCTGGCGTTCGCCTGCATGAACATCGGCTATGGCGTTCTTCCATTTTTGGCGGCGAGGAACGCACCACGGCGGCGGTCGTACGTGGACGTGCTCTATCTCGGCGCCGCGTGCCTGCTCTTCACCATAATCACGTCCTATAGCTTCTATGCACTGGCTGGCTACTTTGTTAAAAAGGTCAGGACAAACATGCCGACCCAACTCGCTCTCAACGGCCAGGACCTTGCTCGAGTTTACTTTCCCACGCTGATGAATGACGCGCCCCCGGACGTGCTGTGGTCCGTGCTGTACTTCTTCGTTCTGACGTCACTCGGAGTCGGGTCGCTGATAATGCACATAGTCTGCATTGTCGGCGAGCTGTCGTCTCTGTCCAGCTTTAGGTTTCGCAAACCTATAATCTTCGTCGCTGTCGGCCTGTTTGGAGCCATCACGGGCCTTTTATTCGCAAATAAAGGAGCCAGCTTTTTGCTGGACAGCATGGAGTCGCCGATATTTGGATCCAAGAAGGTTATTCTTAGCTTGCTGTTCGTCATCGTCGTCATCTTCCTCTATGGTCGCAACAACATGATCCACCACATTGAGCACCGGCTGCAGGTGACACCCTGCCCGCCAACGATGCTCTGCCGAGCCTTCTGGTGGGTGGTCTGTCCGCTGGGACTGGCGGTGCTTCCAATCCTCGCTGCTGTCGGCCGCGGAGGAGCCGTCTTCGACAAGCGCACGCCAACGTTGTTGGTTGCTTGCACCGTGATCTACGAGTTCTACTACTGGTTCATCATCGGTGGCGTGACCGCCTGGGCGTGGTTTCAGCCGAAGAAGCCGCGCGGGGTCTGGCGACTCGAGCGGGACAGCGAGGACGTCGAGGTTGCCACACCGGAGTCCTTCCAGCAGGTGGCTGTATCGGAGCAGAACAGTGGCGACTCGTGGCAGACGTGCGCCTGAAAGCAGCCAGGACTCGTGGTGCGTGTGCGACTGAGAGCAGCGGGACTCCTGGCGCGCAACAGTGCCTGAGGACGGCAGGGACTCCTGGCGCGCTTACGAATGAGGACAGCGACGACTCCTGGCACGCGACAGCGCCTGAGAGCAGCGAGGACTTCTGGCACGCGTGCGACTGAGGGCAACGGGGGCTGCAGGCGCGCGACGGCGACTGAGAGCAGCGGAAATTCTTGGCACGCGGCAGCGCCTGAAAGCAGCGAGGACCCCTGGCGCGCGGGCGGCTGAGGCAGATGTGACATGGAAGAGGGTGCTCGTGGCAGGTGCATAGTTGACGTGGACACCCAAGGCTGTGACTTTAAGTTACTGTACGTAACTGCGGTGAAGTAACACGGAGAAGTGATGATACATGTCCAGGCTTTCGCTAGCCATCGCCAAAGTGGTTGAGGCTGTTACGCGACCACAATTGATGTGGGTTGGGAGGCCTCATTAGAGGTGGTAGATATCGCGCGAAGTTCTTTGAGGCCGTGTATAGAAAGCTGATTTGCAGGACATGCCCGATTATGCACAGCTCTCACAGTAATAAATTGTAGTATGACAGCACCGTGTTTTGGATGTCCAGATAAGCTTTTGTGGTAGCAGACTGAAGCTTTGGAGCGATGGAGCATGGCCTACGCTTGACATTCTGTTTTGCCATTGGTTCGCCGTGGCTTGTGACGCGGCAGGACGGCAACTCCTCGCCTGGATGCGTAAACTGACGCCGTGATATCATGGTATGTCAGTGACGGGTCACGGGGGACCCAGTCAACAGAATAGCCGGTTTAGTCACTTCTCGAAATGCTAATGGGATTGCATGCACCATACACCAGCCAGCCACCAGCAATGAACTACTCATGTTAAACCTTCAGCCGCCGTAAGCTTCGGGCATGCGTGCGTGCACTGTTGGCATAGTGACTGCCCCAACAGTAACACAACAAAACCTACACAATTAAATGTTGAAAACATGACGTTACGGGTGCATATCGGCATGCGTCCGTTCGCTTTGGGGATTGGGGAACGATGGTTTCATTATATTTAGAGGCCAGATCCCCTTGCCCCCCCCCCCCCGCCCCTGGATCCACTCTTGACCTCGTCCAACTGTAATCGAAGATGCTCTAGACTGCCTCTTGCCCACCACTATAGTGACCTACTCCGGTGGCGATGGTAATCGCAAGCTCCCCTCCCTCCCTCCCCGCACACCTCTCCTCGCTTGTTCACCACTATAGTGACCTACTCCGGTGGCGATGGTAGTCGCAAGCTCCCCTCTCTCCCTCCCCGCACACCTCTCCTCACTTGTTCACCACTATAGTGATCTACTCCGGTGGCGATGGTAATCGCGAGCTCCCCTCCCTCCCTCCCCGCACACCTCTCCTCACTTGTCCGTGCCATTCTACCCTAGTCATGTACCCATAGTCTCATCCACTCATGACTCTGTTATGACTGTGGTCTCCTCGCATACATTGAGCACGCCTTGCAACATTATCAACCCCGGCAACACCTGATCTTTTCGAAGTCCCCTATAGAGATGCATCGAAGTTTTCATGTAATGCATTCTCTATAGAGAATGCATTACAGAGCATAACATTGTTAGTAATGGCCCGCGTCCCTACAGCATAATCGCCGCGTGGGCCATGCACACCAGACCTACCAATCGC